GTCTTCTTCAAAAGTCGATAAAACAGAGCCCCGCCAATGCCAAAAAGCAGAGTCCCTGCTATCATAATTCCAAATATGTAAACGTCTTCAACATCCTCCTGAGACAGAACTGAGAGACACATCATCTGCCACACTCCCCACAAATCCATGACGTACCCCACAGCGTGAGTCTCTGCTGGATACGCCGGTTCTCCAGGACAAGATCCTGGAGAACCGGCATTCTCCCCGGCATTTTGGTACAGGCGTGCCTACTATTTATATATTTACCATTTAGAAAATAAAAATTAATTAATTAATAAAAACACTGATACATGCAAACTCAGTTGCTTTAACACTTAATGCTATACATTTGTATAGGGTATTTAAATGGTAAATGATTTTTGTCGCTTCGATGAAAAAATCTTATCAATAGAGTTGAACGCCCACGATACCAAATCCATAATCTTCTTATTAATTTATGTTCGGGAGATGAGACCCAGGCGCTTCAGACACACAGAGAGCAGAGCAGGAAGAAGGAAAAACGGGGGAGGGATGACAGAAGCAGCCACCTCAATGAGAGCCAGGGAGGGGAAAAAAAAAACCTTTATATTAACTTTAGATTACAACTTTGACAATTTAAACTATTCCAAAAGTAATCTAAAGAGCAAGTAAAATGTCTCATTTAAAAAACATAAAAAAGTGAAGGAGTAGATGATTTCTTCAAATTATCAGCTTATTATATTTGAATTTTAGCAGCCAGCATTGTCATATTTGATTACAGTATTTGGGATGGCACTGTGGTGAAGGGGTTAGAACTGTTGCCTCTTAAGCCCTATTTGCATGAGATAAATTTTACCTAGGGACCACATGTAATAAATAAATTACTCCCCAATGTCTGCTTTTTTTGTGGCACATTTGCACGAGATAACCAAAACCTGAGATTTAGCTGAAATGTATGGACATCTTCCGGATATGATGTTAAAGAAGTAAAAAAAAAAAAAAAAAGTCACGTTCAGCTCAGTTGGACAACCTGTCACTGGCCACACACGTCTGCTGACCTGCCAGTTGAAATGGACTTGCAACCTGTCCAGGATGTACCCCACCTCTCGTACAGTGATGGCTGGACATGGACACCAGCAATCCCCGCTACCAGGAAGAAGCGTGTAAATATAATGAATGGATGGATGGATGGATGGATAGATCGATCAACTGATCACCAGCTGTGCACATCTCTGCACCTGCTGTCATCTGCAGTGAAGGAATTAGTAGCTTCTACAAAAGCTGAAGCAAGCAGCACATTCATTTAAAATAGCTTTGTTCTACATGTATATTTTTCCAAATGTGTTTGCTTAGGAAATTAAAACAAACAAAAAAAAAAAAAAATCCCTAATAACGTATCTGCTCCTGCCCGTTTCTGTCCAAGTCACAGAGATGCCTATTTGCATTGGATTAGTATTATCACAGGATCTCAGAGTTCAGCAAAATATACTGTAGTAGGTAATTTGCGGGGAAATTTTTACTTTACAAATTACTGACATGGCCGATTTGCACGTGATTAACAACACGGACAATCTCTGTAATTATTACAAATAGCATGTGGTCCCTAGGTAAAACTAAGCCCATGCGAAAAGGGCTTTAGTGAGAAGGTCTAAGGATCGCCTCCCTACCTTGAACCTTTCTGAGTGGAGTTTGCATGTTCTCTCTGTGCTGGCTTGGATTTTCTCTGAGTACTCCAATGTGCTCTCACATACCTAAAACCTGCAAGTTAGGTTAATTGGTAACTGAAATATTTCTAGGTGTGAGTGAAACAATGGTTTGTCTCATGTGTCCCTGTGATGACCTGGAGACCTGGCCAGTATCTCCCCCACCTCTTGCACAGTGATGGTTGAAGATAGACCCAGAAAGCAGAAGAGGGTAAAAAATTGAAGTTCAACTTTCACAGACTCTCTCTTTCGCTGTTTTTCAAAGTAAGATTGGACATGACACACAATTGGCTGACTGATTCAGGTCTCTCTTGTAAATGAGTCCCTGAGGCTCAGTGGGATTAACATGTATAAATAAAGGTTGAATGAATGATGGATGAGCTGCACGATTGGTATGGATTGTTTTGGTACCTCTTGAAATAAGGCTCCCCTTATAGATGCTAATAAATAGTTTATATATATGTTATTAATTTCTCTATAAACATTCAGCATGTTTCAGTCAGGTCATCTGGACAGTTTCTTTTTTTTTGTGCTGAAACGTTTCACCTTTGATCCGGAAGGCTTCATCAGTCAAGGAAACACACAACAAAACTGATTCTTACACCAACAGCTTACTCCAAAGTGGAACAAACCAGTTCTGCTTGTGATAAGATGGTATCTTTGGTATGGCCCCTCCTCCATTGCCTACCCTCTTCCTTGTTGACAGTCATGTCAAACGGCTTCTTCTTATTTATTAACCATCTATAAAGGGAGCCTTATTGTAAAGTGGAACCAATTTTTCATTTAAAATATATCATAAAAAATGATTTAGCACCTACTGCACCTGTGTGCAGCCCACAGCTGAAGGAGAAGCTTTTTTCCTGCAGCATGTCAGGATATCTGCTCTGCAGCAGTGAAGTGGGCATGGCCGAGAGCACTGGCAGGTAGCAGAGAGCGTATCATGACGTGCTGTGCTTTTTTTAAGAGCTTTTAGAGTTTAGAAACTTTTTTTTTTTAGAATATTGCAAAAGTGTGACAAGGGTTTAACTCCCCTTTATATATATAGTGGTCAGGGAACAGAAATCCCAGTGATAAACGAGGGGCTACTGTACAACAACTAAAACAAACTAACTGTAAGATACACTAACGACAGATCATTATGACTGCAAGTGTTCAGTTGGATGGAAACAGGTCCGATAATAATTATTTCTGCAATTGTTAACACGTTGCATTGCTCATAGGTCAACAGATGTTGCTGTCATTTAATGCTGCAGTCTATATTTCCTTAGCAATAAGTATGTTTGTTGCAGTGTTTCTCTTCCACCGTCCTTCAATTCAACACAGAAGTGTCAGGAGAGATCTTTTGCCATCTTAAATAAAGCAAAGCTAATGCACCACTGTTTGGCCAGCACTAGGCAGGTCACTGATTGGAATTCATGTCTAGACTGAAACCATTACCATAAAAAGGCATTGATGTGGTATAAATCAAGCATTTACTGCTGACTTAACGTTTATTACAGTTTCTGTATGCACCATTATCAAAACCACGATGATGGTTAATGAGTCCTTGAAAGGTTTCTTCACCTGAACCCTCCTCCTTTCTCTTCAGGTATTCTGTTTGAACTTTTTTTTTTCAGGTCACAGCAACAATTACGAAGCAAAATCTTCTTTAAGACAGTCTAAACAAAAAAATGAGGATCTCCAAATTATTTCCATATGTTGAAAAATATGTCAATTATTTTGAAGCACTGCATCAGTTCAGGATTAAAGACTTAGAAGTGCAACAGACATCAGGCTCCCTCTCCCTGCTTGAGCCTTGGAGACTTCCACAAACAGCACAGCATGTCGGGGCTGATTGCAGCGGCACTGGGGCAGATAAATCAGTCTTACTATTATCCTATGTGAGCTAGGACTGCCAAATTACAACTTTAGCCTTAAACCCCCACAGAGTTTGCTTACAGATGTCCTAAGCCACAGCAGTGAATAAAAAATCCTACTAAAAAAGATGGCCATGGTTTGAGAGAGGACGGAGGGAAGCAAGTCTGATGCGATGTGTATATACATCTCATTCTCAATATTCCTCAGGCTAGTGGGTCTCTTCTTTTTTTATTGGCCTCTGCACACTCCCTGGCTCATAACATTGATGTTCTAAAAGCTTTGCTAGGACCATAATTTAAATTTATTATAATCTTGTTATGGATTCATAAACAGCTTCAATGTCCCATACATATTACAAGTCTGATATTGAAAAGTTGAAGCACAGAACCATTGAAAAAACATGCAGACACTTACACAAGTGAAGCAATATTAGAGCAAAGTAGTCAAACTTTTAGTGGAAAAACCCCAACAAAATCAGGCAACTGCAGGACGTGACTTTATGGTACTAGGTTAATTTGTACACCCAAGCCATCATTTACATTTATATATATATATATTACACATTTATTTTTCTTTGGTAGCAGTTAAGGTGCTAACAAACATGTTTTATAAACTGTCTTGCTGAAACAATGCATTTTTTTTCTTTTTTTGCACATTAGTGTTCTTTTCTGTTCCAGTTATTCTAATAAATGCTTCCCACTTTCTGTTGCTGCCTCCATTTACCACCAATTCAATTCTGCACAAGCTTCTTAGTGTGTAATTTATGACTTCGGTTGCACCATAGACTACTGAAAAACAAAACTTCTTACCTTGCCCACATATTGCGGGTCTGATCCCATATACTCCTCCAGTACAAAAAACTGGTTCCACACCCAGCCTCTCTTGACCCGCTGAAATCCAGAGGCCCCATTCTTTCTCGTTGAGCCCACCGAGCTCTTGGCGTGCTCCCTCCCCGTTCTGCTCCGACCCAGTGGTGATGAAGGAGGATGTAAAGAAAGGACCGAATCCTCGTTGACAAGAATCCACAGGAACAGCAGCAGGCAGTTCCTTGTAAGCATTGGCAATTTGTGATGTTCCGGTCCCTCAGGTTAAAGTTGATGATGAAAGATCTCAGATCTCAGATCTAGTAAAACAACTGATGGTGATGTATTGTCGAAATAAGTGAGACGTGGAGCTGTGTTGGGCGTGGCAAACCCAAAAGTAGATTCCCAAGACTACACTCTGAGATTTGTGGAGCTCATTCCCTAAAAGACAGAAATAAAAATATATATTAAAACAACAAATCAACAACAATGCATTTTTCTTTCATTAATAATACCTCATTAACACAAAGATTGGAGGCAGTCTAGGGCGGTCTCAGATCATTCTTGATCTTTATAAACAGCATTAATGACTTTTTTCATAAATACTAATCATTAATGGCTTTCTTTTCATAAATCCCAGTGTCCTGGTGGAAGTTGGCAGTCTATATTCTCCCCCCCTGCTGCTTACCTGCATTAGTTTTTAACTGCTTGATGATAAATGATGGTGCTTTCACTCTCAAGCATACCAGTATGCGCTGTAATTATGCACCTCAAGATAGATTACTTCTACACCAAGCGGTTCTTGTGCATACATGCTCTAATTATCCAGAATACTTGTCCCTACAGTGAAAAGTGTGACTTTATTTTTGCTGTCAATTACAGGCCGCCACACACTGTGCCACGAAGCTGTCAGTGTTACTGCAGTTCTTTACCCATAAAGGTTGAAAGTCTGTATTTTTAATGACACTTTAATGAAGGAGTTCTGATGAATGCTGTGCTTTCCTTTTTCAAAGCTTGTCACAGAAAATATGATCATCTGAAAGCTGCTGACAAAAAAAGTGATTACCTACTTTAGAACAAAAACAAGTGAAAAGTTGCAGTCCCTATATTGTGTGTAAGCAATCTTCTAAAGATAAAGCATGATAATCAAGAATCAAATAAATGTATATTTGATATGAAGCATTACTGTTGCCTAAACTGTTTGTTACCTTATGTTTTGGATTATCTTAAACTGGGTTCACACTGTACAAATGTTTGTCTGTCAGACAAAATTGTTTGCTTTGGGGAAAAAATAAAATAAATATATATATATATATATATCTATTTGTGAACTCAAATAAGTGGCTTGTGGTGTTAAATTATGGCATATTCTTTCAACCTTTTCTTTATACAAGTTGGTCTAATTGAGTCACGAGGACTATTTTTCAAGAGAGACCTGTTTTAGTCAAAAATATAAAGTACAGACAACAATAATGCCACAAAAATAAATGTAAATCAAATACATCAAGTTATAAACACAGGTCAAATCAAGATGTCATACAAAACAAGGTAAACATACTAAAGACAAGAACATACTTGCTTTGGTATGACTATTGACATTATCAAATCTTTAAAA